TCTTCTCTCTCCTCCTCTCTCTCTCTCTCTCTCTCTCTCTCTCTCTCTCGTCCCGAACCCTCCTCCACGGTCCTTCCCTCGAAGATTCTTTTTTCGCGACGCCGTTGCGCCGAGAAAAGTCGAAAATTTAGATAGGGATGTAGGGCACCGATCGATCGATTCCAATAGTCAATACGTTACTTGTGTTAGGTACTCGCTTATATCCCTGTCTTCTGCACAATATCTTTCATTGCGTCCCTTTCCTTCGTTGCATTTGTTCCGCGAATCGATGTAATTCTGATTTGGCGCAATGTTAAAATATTTCTCAACATTTGCCAGCTATATTTCGTACCTATAAATAAATTTTATTTTATGAATCTTTAATTAATATAGCAGAAAATAATTACAGAAATGTCTACAACAGCACTGGAAAACTCATTTGATTTGGGATAATCATAAATTGCACCTGTATCAAAAATGCACTTTTTCGTGCTTTTGTTTTCGAATAATCAATGTTATGAGTTTCTAACAAGGTAGAAGGTTACAAGATTAAATTTCAAACTGTTGCACTATATTAATTTTTCACACCGGTTCTTCTGTTATGGAGTTTTCATGCGGTGGTGCGCAAACTTACATACATCTATTATTTAACATCGTGGTGTTGCAAAGAGTATTATACAACTTTTGATTGTACAACCGTCACATAATAATACATGAGACCGATAAAGATCGAGCACGCATTACCGCTATAAAAAATTGAGCAAATAAATGTCAAAATACCGCAACGACCATCGTTAGTAGCATTTAAAAACGCGTATTTATTTCATTCGCGTGTATATATTATCATTAAACTAAATAAGTGAAACGCGTGGCAACGTGCAAAGTTGTCATATCGTCATGAAAAACAAACGACGTCACGACGTCACAAACATCATAACATAACAATGAACCTCTACCCTGCACGCATTACCGCATTTACGTCACTTTACTACTTTATCCCAACTTTATGTACACTTTCTTTCCATTGTCTCGCCGGTGAACTTCTCAACTCAAGCAGAAAGTTCAAGGTGGAAAATTCATTCGCTCGAGGAAAGCTGTCTTTACTCATACGTCTTTCAGAATTTTCCCGCGCGCTTCATACTGCGGGGAGAATTTTGCGCGCGCGTGAAATAAATCGAATTTTGAAACGCGAGTAGGAAAAGAAGAGAGAGAGAATGTGAGGGAAACAGAATCTTATTGGCGATAGGTGCTTAGTGGACGAGCGCGATTTATCCGCTATTTCTCGCAAGATTTATCTACCCATTCTTTAATCCTTGGTCGATTCCTTCGCCTGCCGCGCCGGCGAGAAACTTCCACTTACGTTTTTTTTAACGGGTGCCAAACTATTTTTTTCCTACGCCACCCTTTGTGCCGGGTAAAGGTTCTTTGCGCGCGCGTTCGCGATAAATCGAAGCCGCACGGGTGGAAGCGAAAGGAAGGGAAGAAAGCGAGAGAGCGGCCTACCTTATTGCGGACGTATAAACGCTCAAAACGTGCGCGACTCTTCCGCTATTTCTCGTGAGACTTTCCCATCGTCTCTTTAATTCTTCTGCCGAGCGAGGGGATAAAATCGAATCGGGAACGGCGCATACGAGCTAACCAGACGGATTTTATCGCGCGCCATACGCTTCAGCGAAGATTTCGTGCGTGCTGTAAACCAAGCTTAACTCATTCATGCATTTTTCCGCGAGATAATACCGTTCGACGCTTCGCAGATGATACACATAGAAGATGTATATGTAAAAAAAAAATATGAATTCTTCCTCGCAAATTCTTACTTTTATTAAATTCAATATTGTAAGCACATTTAAATCTGGTAAAATATCATAAAATTCAAAATACCTAAATCAAAGATGGCATGTAATCAAGAATAGTGTGCAAGTTAAAAATACAAGAGAAGAAAAAATCCTTATTGCGCATTCTTCGTTTCTTTTAGAATTTTTTAGTATTGATAAAGCGGAACCTGTCAGTCTGGCATTCAGGGGCGGAGATTTCAGCATCGCGCCAACTAATCGATATGCTTTTGTAATTTCTCGAAGGGCCGTGTTGAGAGAGGATTGAAGTTCGTGTAGTCGAGAAAAGAGCTGGTTACGGACAGGCAAGTGTAGAACAATTCCCGTCGTTCTTCTTTTATCGGTCGATCTACCCTCGCTTTAATTCCACGGGTGCGACAGCGCGCGCGCGCGCGCGCGCGTTTCACCCTGCGAGATGGGAATCTTTTATTTACACACGTCACGCTTGACTTTTTATTTTTACATCAAAAATTTCTCCCATCCCTTACATTGTCGCAGAGGATTTTGCGCTCGTGCGCCGAATAAAGGGTAAAAAGGAAGGGAAGGGTGACTCGGGGTGTCAGGCGGCTTACGTGAAAGAGAGGGGTGCTCTCTTATTGCGGATAGGTGGGTGCTTAGTGGACGGGCGCGATTTATCCGTTCTTTCCGCCGAGATTTATCTGCCCTTTCTTTTACAACCCCCATACGTCCCACCGCCCCTGCCTTCAACCCATCCGCCTATCGTCAGAGGCGCAATACGTCTGCCGCGATAAGTAAGTGCGCGCGCTCCGATAGAGTAATAAGTTCCCGCAACTCTCTCTAGGAAGTCTGTCCGCGAACTCGCAAAACTTTTGCCCGTGTGTATCTTATTAACGGTTCCACGCGCGGCAATGTTCACTTTTAATCTCTGTAGTCTGAAAAGCGCGGGATTAGTGCTTCTCGCACAAATGGCGGCGTGTAGGTGCTCGTCGCAATTATCCTGGCAGGATGCTCTAAATTCTCGCTGAATTACCGGACCGTGTTTCACGTCACACACGGGCAACTAACCGCTCGCTCATTCCCAATTCCCTCTCCATTTCGCTGAGGAATGCTAAAGTCTTTGCCAAATCATCTGAGAAAGTTTTACAAGCGGAGCCAATCATCTATGGAAAAATTTATATCTATCAAATCTCGTGCAAAACTTGGAAAATATCAAACATTCTTCTCCAAGATCTTGAAAGTTTGCTCAAAACAACGTTTTAAGCGAGAGCTTCTTTCTACGTGCTTCAGTAAGTTAAGACGAGAGCTTCTCTTTTAAGCAATATTCTCTTGAAACTTTATAAAACGTTGCGATTCTTAATCCCGTCAAACTTGGTTGACGTCAGTTCATTGCCTGTTACATGCATGGTCGCGGAAAACGTGAAAAAGTATAAGGATTGTAAATCACTGTATAAAAACGTGACGATAAATTATTCATAGAAGAATAACACATCTGTAATAAGATTTATAATATTTCTCCTTGTAAATTGTGTAGACGTTTTCAAGACAGTATTTATTGGAATTAAAATGTAGAATGCCAAATGTAGCATTAGAATAAGATGTAAATATAGAAAAAAAAAAAGAAAAGAAAACAAAATGTAGGACTGTTGAAAACTAACAAGAGGCAGTAACGCAAGCTTGTCAAGCTCAGCGTAGTAGTATTTTTTCTGAAGTTTATCGAGTCTGTGAGAATGTTCATGCACACGTCCTTGAAGACGTTGTCAGTACGCTGACGCCAATAAATTCTCCTCTTCCTGCCACTACCAATTGTGTACCCTTTATTATCGTACTCTGACCGACGGTCTCCGAGATAAAAGTCGATCCATAAGTGCGAAGGCGAGCAAACACTTCGCTCATCGTCCGTAGATTTATCATTTCGCTCGGCGGACCGACGTGAATCGTGCCGGGTTTACCGAACAGACAGAGGAGTGAGAATGAAAGGGTGAGCCAGCATGTGCTGGCGCAAGGGGATGCGCGCGGTGTGTTGTCAGGGGTAGACTATGGAAAAGAAAAAGTCGAGCGCGACGCGGCCATGCAGCAGATTATAAGACCTGCATGGATCGGACTGGAATATGCGGACTGGAACAGAACACGATGCGGCACCTACCGACGCCCGTCACCGGCTGAGAAAGAGAGAGAGAGAGTCTAAAGATTAATGACAAACCGTCGACGATTCGAATTTCGTGGTAATGGGATAGCTCGGATATTTTAAGGATAACCCAAGAGACGCTCCTGGACATTCACCGTGACGCAAGCGCTCCTGCACCGCCCCACCCAGTTGCAGAAGTCCTCACCAACACGACGACGACGGTGACGACGACGACACCGTCGTTGCCGCCGCCACGGGCGCCGCCGAACGGTGTGT